TATGATGTCGCGTGGCTGCAGTAGTGGCCATGCAATTTTGAAATTCCAAAATTTTAACACTTAAATCTGGAGGGATTTCTGCCAAAACCTGCTGGGTTCCGAGATTTGTTCCTGAGTTACTTCATCAGGAGCCAGAGAAGCCGTTCATGGGCAGCAACTCAGGAACTCATTGGGGTGGGGAGGGAAGGGCCGGCTACACCCCCATCCCATGAGGCCCTGCGTGTCTCGTCACTGCGAGCCCAAACCTGACTGTCCAGTGGCCTCTGGCAGATGGCAGCCACCGAGCTGCCAAGGGGAGCAGGCAGAGGGAGAGCACCCTTTCCCCCCTGGGGTGTCCCTGCAATAGTAACCTACTGTGGGGTCCGGATGCATTTCTTCCAAAAGCCGCTGGGTTTTGAGATTTGTTTCTGAGTCTCTGGGATCATGGCCATTAAGCAACTTGATCAGGAGCCATAGAGAACGTTCATGGGTGGCAACTCAGGGTCTTGTTAGGGTGGAGAGGAAAGGGCTGGCTCCACCCCCATCCTGTAAGGCCCCACGTGTCTCATCACTGCAGGCGCAAACCTGACTGTCCAGTGGCCTCTGGAGGATGGCGCCCACCGAGCCACCAGGAGGAACAAGCCAAGGCACTAAACACATTCCCAACTGGGTTGGCCCAGCACCGGAAACCTACTGCAGGGACTGGACGCATTTCTGCCAAAAGCCGCTGGGTTCCGAGATTTATCTCTGAGTCTCTGGGATCATGGCCGTTAAGCAGTTTGATCAGGAACCAGAGAGGCCATGCCTCCAATTATATAGCTGAGCCCGAGGTGGTTTGTGGGTATGTCTCCCACATACCTAACTTTTGACCATTTCCTTTCTTGGTAAACTTTGCCCTAAGTTTTTGGGGTCTGGCCAAAGGCACAGCAGCAATTTTGGGGTATCTGGAGTCTGAAGGCACGATGAGGCTGCTGATGTACTCACCTCACAGGTACTGACTGACCTGCTGGCAGGACCATACCCCCAACTTTTTCTGTTTTTGACACTTTTTCTGCCAGAGAAATTTTATGCCACCCAGGCAAATAGGTAAATACAATAGGTACATAAAGTTCTTTATGGCAACATAAAGAAATGAATTTTATTTTTACTTGGAGGTGGGGTCTCTTAAATGGTGTTCAGAAGCCCCAGGGACCCCTCCCAGTGATTGCCAGCCAACTTGGCCAGTGTTTCAAAGAGAGGGATTGAGGAAGCAATGCCACTCCAGTGATTCTCAGAGGCCTCAAGGACCGCACCTGAAGGTGCTTAGGGGCCATGTGATGCTGGGAATCAAATCAGGTTTACTACATGCAAACAAGGCAAGCCTCTGCACAATCTCTCCAGGCCCCAAATTTTTTCTAAAATAAGTTTTTAAGTTATACGACCTAGTTTTAACCCACAGTTTAAAAAGTTAGGCCCTAAAATAAAATTTTTTTAAAGGAGTAAGACCTTATATTGTATTCAAAAAGACTTGAAATGCATCATAGATTACAATATAAAACCTAAATATAAAACTTTTCTAAAAGAATTTTCAGGGGGAAAAACTCTGCCGTCTTAGGTTAGGAGAATATTTTAAAGATACGCCATAGTAATTCATGCCAATTTTGTTAACTATATTTCATCAAAATCTAAATGCCTTCTCTTCATAAAGCACCAAAACAACATGGAAAGGCCAGCCATGTTACTCACAACGCACTCAGATAAAGAACTTTACCAAGAAATTTTGAATATTTACAATGAAAGTTTTTTCCAAAGGAGAAAGAATATAAACATACAGTTCAGTAAGGAAGCCATACAAATAGCAGATAAATGTGCCACATCATTTGAGTCATTAAGAGAATGCAACTTAAAGCTGCTATGAGACACCCAGAAGATGGGCTCTAAAGAGAACTGAGGAGACAATGTGTCGGTCAGCAGCAGCCACAGGCCCTCCTCACATTGCCATGGAAATGAAAAATGACATGGTCACATTGGAAAGCAGCTTTCCATTTCTGATAAAGTTCAGCATATGTAAATGATCTACCCCAGAAATCCTTCTCTTAGATACCACAAAGAAAAAAATCAAAATATTTTCCTACGAAGACCATTATACAAATCTTTAGACCACCTTTGTTGAAAACTGTATTTGATATCCTTTAATAAGTAGATTAAAGGGGACTGGAGCGATAGCACAGCAGGTAGGGCATACGCCCTGCACGCGGTCAACCGGGGTTCTATTCCCAGCATCTCATATGGTCTCTTGGGCACTACCAGGAGTAATTCCTGACTGTATGAACCAGGAGCAACCCCTGTGCATCGGCGGGTGTGATCCCAAAAGTAAAAACAAAACAAAAAAAAAGGGGAGATTAAAAACTCAACAATAGGGGCTGGAGTGATAGCACAGCAGGTAGGGCATTTGCCTTGCATGCGGCCCGACCCGGGTTCGATTCCCAGCATCCTACATGGTCCTCCAAGCACAACCAGGAGTAATTCCTGAGTGCATGAACCAGGAGTAACCCCTGTGCATCGCTGGGTGTAACCCAAAAAAAAAAGCAAAAAAAAAAAAAAACCCTCAACAATATATCCATATAGAAGAAAACTCTTTAGGAATTGAAAGCAACAAACTGCTCATACATGCATACAAAAAGCAAACACATGTATACAAAATGGAAACTTTCCATTCAACTGAACTTCTTTTTATTTGATTTGATATAATGATCAAGGTTCTGTGATTTACAGTGCTACCAATGATGGGTTCTTAGGCACAGAATTAAAATCATTTACTTGAATTTTTAGGAAGGAAATTATAGTAAGAAAATCAAACCAATGGTGTTAGAGTTTAGGGTAAAAATAGAGAGTTGGCCAAAAAAGAATACAAGGGAAATTTGGTGGACAATAATGTGGGTTGTACAACTATATTCATTTGTCAGGATTAACTTTTTAATTCTCTACATCACTAATCATCAGGGAGATGCAGATCAAAACAAGTAAAACACCTCACACCACAGAGACTGGCCCACATCCAAAAGAACAGGGGCAACCGGTGTTGGCACGGATGTGGCAAGAAAGGGACTCTCCTTCACTGCTGGTGGGAATGCCTACTGGTCCAGCCCTTTTAGAAAACAATATGGACAATTCTCAAAAAATTAGAAATTGAGCTCCCATTTGATCCACCAATACCACTCCTGGGAAAATATCCTGGAGAGGCAAAAAAGTATAGCCAAAGTGACATCTGCACTCCTATGTTCATTGCTGCACTGTTCACAATAGCCAAAATCTGGAAAAAAATAGAGTGCCAGAGGACAGATGGCTGGTTAAAGAAACTTTGGTACATCTCTACAATGTAGTACTATACAGCTTTTAGAAAAAACAAAGTCATGATATTTACCTACAAGTGGTACTACATGGAAAGTATCATGCTAAGTGAAATGAGTCAGAAAGAGAGGGACAGACATAGAAAGATTGCATTAAACTGGGAAATATAAAATAACAAAGTAGGAGACCAACATACTAGAATAGTCGAGATAAGTTACAGGAGGTTTACTCCATGGCTTGAAGGCCTGCCACACATGCTATGGGAAAGGGCAGCTCAGACAGAGAAGGGAACACCAAGTAAAGGGTGTTGGGAGGATTCTTCTCCCAGGACAGGAGATGCATGCTGAAAGTAAACTATAGACCGAACATGTTTGCCACTCAATGCCTCTTTTGCAAACCTTACCAACCAAAAGGAGAGAAAGAACAAAAGGGAATGCTCTGCCACAGAGGCGGGATGGGACAGGGTTATGGGAGGGGTGGGAGGGTTACTGGGAGGGTTACTGGGAGGGTTATTGGTGGTGGAGAATGAGCACTGGTGGAGGGATGGGTATTCAATAATTGTATGACCGAAACCCAAGTACAAAAACTTGTAAGGTCAACAACTGTACTACATGGTGTTTCACTAATAAAAAAAATAAAACAAAAGAGATTAACTTTTTTAAATCTATGTTTTCAAGGAATATAATTATTTTTATGTAATTTATGTATATATTTATCTTATATCCAGTAAACTTGACAAGTTTTCCATTAGTGTAACAATTTTAATTTAAATGCTTTTAATTTTCTATGTAGGCAGTTGACTTGTGAATTACAAGTTCCCAAAAATTTCTTTTAATTTTTCTTTTTTTTTTAAGGAAAAAGCATTTGGCAATATTTATTGTAATATAATCTGATATAAAAATATTTAATTTCCTCTGGATACGAAGCCTCCCAGATAGCAAACCTGAGGTAGGCATAAGGGAGTCTGAGGTGGACGGGCTTGAGGCCACTGTACATACTAGGAACACAAGCCTCTGCAATCAGGAATGCTGGGCTCTGCCCTGGCCCCTGTCCACTCCGGGCCTGGGAGCCAGTGAGGCAACACCAAGGGGCCAAGATTCGTGCATACTGCACCAAAAGGCTGGGAGTGGTCTTGAGGTCCAGTTAATTTTCCAAAATTGTAAATTTAGCAAATTGTTCGTAGAAAAATAAATTATTTTTTATTTTGCCAACATTGTGTCACAGTTGACCTTACTACAGTGCCTGAGGAACGACTGGTTTGCTCTCCTGCCCAGAGTGGCAGATAGGAAGCAGGAACCTGGCTCCCACCGGGCTGACTAGCCCTACTCAGGGAGGCAGACATATGTCCTGACTACACCGAGAAGTTTTTTTTACTCCTTTCCTCCTGGTGGTCAGTTAGGTCATGTGTTACCCAAAAGACCTAAACAGGCCAGGAGGAATCCCCAAATATATATAGGTCATAAGCGGACATTTGGGGCTTAGGAAAAGGGGAGAGATCTGGAGCTCCGGGGTGCCCAACAGACTCACATCCCAAAAATGTTCCACAGGGAGAGGGGAAGACGGGGTAGGTTCGAGTTTTATGGTCAATATAATAAATTAATCAGAAGCATTTGCAAACACCCCAGACCCTCAGGGGGAGACTAGGGAACAATCTCTGAGGAGGAACACCGGCTGGCTGGGGTGCAGGGCTGCAGTCCGATCTCCTAAGCCCAGCAGCACTGGGACCAAGTGGGAGACTCAAAGGCCTTGTTGACTGTCTGCAGGTTCCAAGAAACGGTCAGTAAAGCTGGTTCTTTAATTGGTGCAGGACGACAATCACAATCTCCCAGAGGGTCTGAGGCTTACAGTGCTTCTCAATCCAACTGAAGACACAGGCCGAAAGCTCCTGGAAGCTGGCCACTGAGATGGACGCGTTGAAGGACTGGAACAGGGAATCCATGATGCCTTGAAACACGTTGAACTTGACCTGGTCGGAGACCTGGTCCTCCCCCTCGTGGGGGTTGTCCTGGTGTGCCTTCACGATCTGCTCATAGTTCACTTTCATGATCTTCAGGGCCCTGACGTCCTTACGTGGTGTAGACACCTCCTCCTCCTGCTTTTTCTTTTCCTTGTGTAGAAACTGGATGTAGTCGATGGTCTTCTGCAGAACAATGGCTTTGCTGAGCTTCTGGGAGCCAATGGAGAAGTCTTGCTGCTGGCAGGTGGGGACGATGGTCTGAAGGTCGTCATAGCCTCTCTTGATGGCATCCCGTCTCTTCTGCTCGGCCTGAGTGTGGGCGCGCCGCTGGCGGTCATTGTACGCCTCTTTGTAGGACTCCTGGTGGTAATGACTGTCCTCGTCATCAGGGTCCAGGCTGTTGTCACTATAGGCATATTCCACCTTGACCCAGGGGTCCTCCCGCAAGGCGCCCGGCTCCGTCATCTCAGACCCACCGTACCGGAAACGAGTCTTTTAATTTTTCAAAAATTTATTTGTTCTTACTTAGTTAAATAATTAAATTTAATTTATTAAATATGAACTAATTAGATTTGTTCTTATTTAATTTAATTAAAACTACTAATAAAAAAACTAACAATAGTTATTCTTGAACTAAAACATAGGATTTTAGGAGTGTGTCTAAGATTTCTGCTATTGATTAAGATACTAGCAGTGGTAGTTGATAATTCCCTAACACAGCATTTCTCAAGATGGGACCATAAACTCCTGTGGGCACCTTCTGAATATTCCAAGGAGGCAACTGGTAAACAAAAACAAGGTCAAAAGGAGGCCAGAGTCAGAAAAAAGTTGAGAAATATTGTTCTAACTGGTTTGGGGTGATTTCATAGATTTATTCCTTGTTTTCTGTGAAGTTTTTAAAAAATATACAATAGTTTTAAATGTTTGTTTTATTACTTTTCTCCATCAATTTCATGAGCTGTGTCTCTTTTATTATGAATATGTGACAAATCAAAGATTTTCTAAAGCAAAATCTTCCTTATATTACTAAAACAAAAATTTACAGACATGATTTATATTTTTATTGATTCCAATTTTTTGCTATTATTGACTTAGTATCTTTACAGTTATATTTATAATTACTAACAGCTGGTAATTTCTTTTTCTGTATTCTCTAGGTATATTTTCAAGATTATAACAAAACTTAGAGCGCTTTCCATCCTTTTCGTGGGACAGTTTGTGAAAAAATAGAGTCGAGATCTTTAAAATTTAACAGAACTCAAATGTAAATTCAACTTAAATAAATTAAGAATTTCTTAAACAAATGACATCTATTTTCATTTTTTCATAGTTATCAGTTTTCTGCTTAAATCTTCATTTTCTAAAAAGATGTATAAATCTTAAAATCTTTCAGAAAACATCATAAAGTTGGGTATAGTTTTTTGATGTTTTTCATTTCTATTGAATCAGTAGTTATGTCCCTTTCAAGACTACACCATTATCTGGTTACTCTATTTTTATCTTAATAGAATTTATCAGAGGTTTATCCACTTCATTAACTTTTCAAAATCCTGGCTTTTAGTTTTATTTAGTGTTTTAAATTTTCTTTTATTGTTTCTTTATGTTCTACTGAATGAAATTTTCTCTTGTTTCTAACAGTTATTTTCATTACTTTGTGGACTTAATCTCTGTTCCTCTAGTTTCTTTGCTAAATAAAAATATTAATCACTCAATTTTTACTGATATGATGATGAATTTCATCATGCTTGAAAATGTAGAGGAATAATTTAACAAATACTGAGTTTTTGCATTTATCTTAAAAAATAAGATGTTAGGAAAAAAATTCCATCTACTCAATCATACTGAAGAGTAAGTTGAGTATGATTTTGGAGAGTATCATGAATATATAAACATTTATCTTTTTATTATGTATGTGTGTCCCTTTACAATATATGTATTTTTTTAACTAAGCATAAGTGTAATCATACTATAAATAATCTAAAATCTTCTTATGTTGTACTTTAGTTTCCAGGCTTACAATATGAATTCCAGCTTTTTGCAAGAATAATCATTGTTGCTATAAACAATGTTGTAATTTTTTGCTTATGTATTTGTTGCTTTCATATCTCTAATAATTATATGTATACCTACTTTACAATGTTTATTAATTAATTTATTGGATAATGATTCTTATTGTTTTAATTCCATTTTGTTATTTATTTAATTTATTAATATACCTATACATTTATATAACACCTACTTAGTTATAAATCTCAGTTATTAAAATTATTTTTCTGCCGCCTATCTAATAAATGATGTTTTAGTTCATTTGCACTTTATAATTTTGGATTATGGGTTCATTTGCAGTCTTATTTTATCTGTTATCCCCTATGTAATCAATAAATATAGTAATTCTACATAGGAGTTTATACATATATTAATATCACATATATTATATGTTATTTTTATATTTCCTTTTGTCAGATAACCAAGATATAGCACTGACAGATCCAATTTGTATATTAATTTCTCAATTTAATGTTATGGATTTGGATCCTAAATTTGCATAGAAACAAAATGGAGATTTTAATTTCTCCTACAGTCAAAGTATGGACATATTACCTTGTCTCTTTATGTTCTTATATGGATTCTTAAAAGAATATCTTATCTCTACAGATCAGCTCTTTAAGCATTATGTTTCATATAATTCTTTAATCCAATTTCCTGCTTCACTGTACACAAGACTTTATCTCCTATCCCTGAATTTAACTAAAAAATTAATTTCTAGCCCTAATGGTACACACTCCTCCTGCCAAAACCACCATACATGAGTTCACATGCTTTTCCTTCTTTATTTTTCAGTCTCATGCGTGGTTACAACACCTCGTAATTTCCCTTTATTTTCTATTAATTATATGTTTTTATCTTCCTATTATACTTTAGCTAGAGTTTCTGAAGATAGAAAAATATAGATAGATAATAGATAGATAGATAGATAGATAGATAGATAGATAGATAGATAGATCTGGAGGTTTCAGCAATAATCTTAGGTTCCTGCAACTGAAATTGGTGCTTTGAACATTTTTAAACAGTGGAGAGATATAATTTGATTTTTGCCTTCTAAGACATTCTGATAGATTAGTAGATACTTTTCAGAGAATTATACCAAGAGTAATAAGCCCATAACATAAGGACATAGGTAGAGGGTACCCGGAATTGTGATGGGAAGTAGTAACTTTGCACATCAAAACCATAAACATTAACACAATTGTAGCCATGTACCCTAATACTATGTAGGGTCACAGTCCTCCTGTTGTTCATCGATTTGCTCGAGCAGGCCCAGTAACGTCTCCATCATGAGACTTATTGTTACTGTGTTTGGCATATCCAATACGTCACAGGTAGCTTGCCAGGCTCTGCCGTGTGGGCAAGATACTCTTGGTAGCAAATAAAGGGTGTTTGGTGGTCCCTCCCAGGAGGGAGGGGAGATGCATGTCGAAAGTGGACTATGGACTGAACATGTTTGCCACTCAATGCCTCTTTTGCAGACCACAACACCCAAAAGGAGAGAGAGAACACAGGGGATTGCCCTGCCACAGAGGCAGGGGGGGATGGGGGGATGGGGGTGGGGGGGACGTGATCCATGGTGGTGGAAAATGGGCACTGGTGGAGGGATAGGTATCTGATCATTGTATAATTGAAACCTAAGCACAAAAATTGTAAATCTACAACTGTACCTCATGGTGTTTCACTAATAAAAAAAATAAATAAATAAATTTAAAAAAAAAAAAAAAAAGATACTCTTGGTAGCTTGCCAGGCTCTCCGAGAGGGGCGGAGGAATCAAACTCGGGTCGGCCATGTTGGCCGCTTGTAAGGCAAACGCCCTACCGCTGTGCTATCACTCCAGCCCCCCTAAACTATAAGAAAAAATATTTTTAAAGAATAGTGAGCTCTTGTCTAGGCTCAGTGTTAAAAGTCAGCATCTGTTCTACATGGCATGCAGGGCATAGGAACCAGAGAAGCAGTATTCACGCCGTAAATCTCCTAGTCTTTCTTTATTCACTTAGGTAAACTGGGGCACAGAAAGACTCAGTTGCTCGCCCATAGTCACTCAGCAGAGAAATGTTTAATTCTTTTATCTACATATCATTTTCAGTGTTGTTCTATTATTTAAGATGTATGATTTATATAAATTAAGGTCAGATTAGAATTAATTCTATAGACCTGAACTTGGGGGACTTTGAAGGTTTTGCTTAGGGCTGACAACAAAAAGAAGATGAGAAGTAATCCCTGCCCTTGAGCTTCTCATGCTCTAGCAAGCTTCAACTAACTCGGATACAGAATAAGGATCATAGCAACTGAATATACATGGTGGTCAGGAAAAAAACAGAGTTGAACTCATTTGAGGAGGTCAGGAAGGTGACGCTTAATCTATGCAAAATCTATTTGGGTTTGTTTGGTCGTACATCTAGTCCAGCAGTAGAATAAGAAAATGCTCTATTTTAAACTCCATATTCATTTATGTCATTCCATAAATATTTACTTTATTATTTGCTGAGTTTTGTCCTTACATCAGGTTCCTCAAGGCAAAAACCAAGGGAGAATGACTGGGGAAAAAAGCCAAGGTGCCTGGGATGGGGATGTAACAGGACAACTCCAAGGTTATGGGCACTAGGTGAAGCAAAGGTTCTAAGAGGAAAAAAGAAAGGGTTTGGAAAAATTGACTCACAAACACACAGGACCCCCAGAATACTTGTGGCATATACTCCCTCCTTATAAAAATATTTTATGCAAAATATGTATTAGAATTCCCTAGAAAACCAGAAATATATGTTGCATAGAGATGTAGGTATAAATTTAAATAAGTACAAATATAATATACATATAAGTATATAGATTGGTAACTAATAATGTCCACATCTATATGGGTAGATATGATAAAGACATCTATTTTTTCTAAATACATTGATAGATAAATATATAAATAAATAAATAAATTACATTGATAGATACAAAGGTAAGATTTATCTTCAGGGGAAAAATAAATGTATATGTATATTATTTCAATACATAAAGTCATATGTTTCTATATGAAAATACATATGTGAGTATTCATTATTATCTCAGAAGAAATGCCAAGCTGATGAAAATCCCAGGTATATGGGTTTCTGGCAGAAACTCCAGGGCCTTCTCAACAGGGGAAGGGGCCGAGTCCCCACCCTTCTGGTGGCTGCACCTGGACACCACAGTCTCCAGCATATATCAGAATAGACGCCAAGCCAAAGAGTCATCCTGGTTCTATAGCTCCTAGAACACGCAGTCACGTAAGTGACTGTTCAACACCTCTAAGTTCCACAATACTGACAGTCCAGTAGGAGTACGGCAAATTAAATGGGAAAGAAGCATAGAGGCCCACTAAGCTCAGAGAGCAAAAATAGTACTGGCTGAAAATAGGACAGGTTGAAGGAGCTCAGCAAGTCCTCAA